AATATGATCGCTTGAAACCCATCGTTGTTTAACTGGTGAATACCTTTGGAACATTTAGTGTTATATCTCAAATGCATTCCCAACAAACCCAGGAATGCATTTCCTGTTCTGGCTTATAGCTAAATCAAGCAAACTCACCTCTTTGACCAGCTGCTATACCTGCGTGGGAACTTGCATTCTCCAGGTCCTCTAATAAGACAAAATGAAATCCACCAATATGATATAGGCAGTGATAATTCTATTAATTCAGATTTCTTTTCATTCCAGTTTTCAGCGGCAATCTGCTCAAAATACCCCTCTCATCAACATTGGAGTAACAGAATATCAATCTTCTGGACCTATTAATCACAACAGGATGCGGGAATGCTCTATTATACTGAAGATCAATTTGGCAATGACCATGATTGTAGATTCATCTGCACACTATTTTTATGGAGAAAAACAGGGATTCTTTTTATGTCAGGTTAGAAGCCATCCATGATTACACTGCAGTTTCCTGCCATTTTTATTTGCAAAAAACGTTATTTTTGAAGGGGAAAACTGAAGCACACGTTGTAAAAAAAGATACATCACAATTAAAAAAAAAATTAACGCTAAACATTTCTCTCCAAAGTAAAGCTCAGCCCTGTTCATATATGTGACAGGATTACAGGTAATTCTCAACTTACGACCACAATTGAGCCCACAATTTCTGTTGCCAAGATATGAGTTATTTTCCAAATTCTCCCTCCTTTGGGATGTACTGGGTCAGTGGGGGGAATTCCTTTCTTCCAAATCCTCCTCCCTTTTCAAACTCAAAATTTCTTTTTCTGGTTTCTTTTATCACAGCACACTGGGTCTCATTGTGTTCTGGTTTTGGAGAATTACCCTGCTGACTGTCCCTTAACCTCATTCCCCCCCACTCCAAACATCTTATGTTCCAGCCATTATCTGAGGGTTTTTCTACAAATGCCTTACTGTTAAAGCAAGGATGAAAGGTTCTCCAGCCTGAAGTCTTAAAGCAAGGAAAACAAAAGAAACCATAGGAAACGCCAGGTTCTTTGTTTTGCTTTTATTAAAGGGCATTTTTATGTATTTGCTTAGAATCAGCATTGCCTCTAGGCAAATGGGATTTTCAGGTTTATGAAAACCCCATTTGTACAATTAATTGTATATGTGACATGAGACAGAGGCTCCATGGTGATGTTCAACCTTCAAGCAAATAATTTGTCTTTAGCTGGAGATTGCTACTTAACAGTTAATTATATTCTGCTGTCGTTAACAGGCAACTATGCTCTGCTGTCCATGGTGCTGATCCTGAAGAGACCGAGTAAGCCAGTGATGGCGAACCTTTTAGAGACCGAGTGCCCAAACTGCAACCCAAAACCCACTTATGCATCATCGAGTGCTGGGTGCGTGTGGCCCATTGGCTGGGCATGGCCCATTGGCTGGGCGTGGCTGTGGTGGTAACGGCAGACTGGGCGGGACTAAAAAGTTCAATCAATCAATTACAACTTTGCAAGATTTTTTTTCCCCGCGAGAAGTTTAAATTGACTGATTGATTGAACCTTTTTCTTTTTTAGCACACGGCGGCGGAGGCCTAAAGCGAAAAGGTTTTATAAAACCCAGCTGAAGGCCTAGGACTGGGGCGACGGCGCGTGTGCCCACAGAGAGGGCTCTGAGTGCCGCCTCTGGCACCCGTGCCATAGGTTCGCCACCACTGGAGTAAGCCAAACCCTAAGCACCATTTTAGCTAAGCAGTAATTCTCACTAGAATACAGCTAGTCCTTGACTTACCACAACTAAGCCCAACATTGGGGACTCCGTTTTCTACAGTTGTACTTAACCTTGTTGGTATTGACAAGAGTATACGTATGAATAATGTTTGTGCCTAATGCTGGACTAAAATCAATAATAATAATAATAATAATAATAATAATAATAATAATAATAATAATAATAATAATAATAATAATAATAATAATAATAATAATAATAATAATAATAATAGTAAAGTTGGAAGGGACCTTGAAGGTCATTTAGTCCAACCCCCTGCTCAGGCAGGAAACCCTATACCATTTCGGACAAATGGCTGTCCAGTCTCTTCTTAAAAACTTCCAGTGTTGGAGCATTCACAGCTTCTGGAGGCAGGTTGTTCCACTGGTTAATTGTTCTAACTGTCAGGAAGTTTCTCCTTAGTTCTAGGTTGCTTCTCTCCTTGATTAGTTTCCACCCGTTGNAAACTGGATGCAGTATTCCAAGTGTGGCCTTACTAAGGCATTGTAAAGTGGTATTAACACTTCACGTGATCTTGATTCTATCCCTCTGTTAATGCAGCCTAGCACTGTGTTGGCCTTTTTGGCAGCTGCAGCACACTGCTGGCTCATATTTAGGTGATTGTCCACTAGGACTCCGAGGTCCCTCTCACAGTTACTACTACTGAGCACGGTGCCACCTATGCTGTACTTGTGCATTTGGTTTTTCTTGCCTAAATGTAGAACCTTGCTTTTTTCACCACTGAATTTCATTTTGTTAGATAGTGCCCAGTGTTCAAGTCTGTCCAGTGTTTTTCTAAAACTGTAAATATGAGTTGCGAATCAATTGCAAATTGCCATGGTGTCAAAATTACCTTTAGACATTATCTTGGGGAGAAAGTTCTTGCAAGCTGAGAGATTTGCTGCATTTCCTACTGTTGATTTTAAAGGCACTATTTGCTGACATGACACCAGAGGCCCATCTACTGGCCAACAGGTGTGGTGTTTTGTTTTGTTTTTTTACAAGTACAGTTTTACACAATTCAGAAATGTAGTTAACTCTAGCAGGTCTTCAGAAAGTCAATAACAGAATGAAACAAAAGAGAGGACAAGGATTAAAAAAATAATTTAAAAAATGGAAATTTAGTGAGGATGCTGGTGAAAGAAAACCCACCAACCTAACAACAAAAAACAGTGTCCAAGTATCAAAGCAGACAGAATTGGGAAACCATGGATAGTGCAAGATTATAAAAGCGTCCTTACAATATAGGGATTAATTACACTACATACAGTAATGGCCTACTTTATTTTGTTAAAATCATGCATTGTCAACCATCTTAATGTTAACCCGTGGTGGTGAACCTATGGCACGGGTGCCAGAGGCTGCACTCGGAGCCCTCTCTGTGGGCACAAATGCCGTTGCTCCAGCCTTGCCTCCGCCCGCGACCCCCTCTTCTCCAGCAGCCTCCCTGGAGGAGAGTCGCCCCTGAGCGTGGCCCACACGGAGCAGTGCAGCCAAGGACATGGCAGCCAGGCAGCGTAGACAAGACTCTGCCCTCACACCCCAACTGTGCCCGCACAGTTGATGCTGCGGGGCGCGGGCAGAGGGCATGGCCGCCATGGTGCTGCTGGGCTGCCTGGGCAATCTGCGGCGGGCCCTGGAGGCGGTGAGTGGCCCTGCGGGCAGGCAGGATAGGGTGGAGCGGGGGCGCGGCAGGGGGTGGAGCGGGGCCGGGGCCAGTTTTGGGGCACTAGGTCTCTAAAAGGTTTGCTATCACTGTCCTATGTTATTAAGCTGTGTTAATCTGTTGCAAAAAAATGTGCAGTGCTCTATTGTCAGGCGCAAAAGACCAGGTCCACACATGAAGGTTCAATTAAACTGATTTATTGCTAAAAGCCTAATCACAGAAATCTCCTCAACTCACGCTGGGCACCTTCTTAGAGTTAGATAAGGGCCAACAGCACCCAAGGAGGGTTGGACTTAGTTCTCTTGTGTCCATGTAGGGATTTTAGGCTAATCCCCCTTTTCGCTCCACCTCCATGTTCTGTCATTCCTTCACCTACATCTATCATCTTAAAAGCTAATGAATTTATCTTGGTATACACATTCATGGACAGGGTTTAATTATTCTCCTTTAGGAGACAAGTAGAAATAAAAACAAAATCAGTCAGTGACAGCTTAATTATTTAAATATTTAGAAAAGAGGTACCATGACAACTCAAGAGCAGTAAGAAATGACCTGGGTCTGTTGATTAAGCTAATTGCCAAGCTGCAATTCAACAACTTCACATTCAATTGAAGTTCTTCTGTTCAGAGTACTGGATTGATCAGAATAGACTCTAATTTTAAGCTTGTCTAATCTAAGCTTATGCTTTCAAAGGATTAGGTGTTACTCAGATCTCAAAATAAAGCACACCCAATGATCTAATGAGGATTTAGGACTTAGTTCAAGGTATCCCTATGAGAATGATTCTATTTGCCTAGCAATTCAGCTAGAAAAGATTGCTTAGTTTCATGTGGATTTTTGAAAGATGGTTAAAACAAATGAATCTAACCATCTTTTAAAAATCCACATGAAATTATGCAATGCATAAACATCAAAGGTGAGGAAAAGTGGGAAGAAGATAGTACATTTATCATTCTTGATCAGCATAACCGAGTCTATATACAACAGCAGTACAGGAAGTCCTTGACTTATGACCACAATTGAGCCCAACATTTCTTTTGCTAAGTGAGACATTTGTTAAGTGAGCTTTGCCCCATTTTATGACTTTTCTTGCCACAGTGTTGAATCTTTGCAGGTGTTAAGTGAGTGACACGGTTGTGAAGTGATTCTGGCTTCCCCATGGACTTGGCTTGTCAGAAGGTCGCAAAAGGTGATCACATGACCCAGGAACATAGCAACTGTCGTAAATATGAGCCAGTTGCCAAGTGTCTGAATTTCGATCACGTGACCACGGGGATTCTGCAATGGTCATAAGTGTGAAAAATGGTCGTACGTTACCTCTTTCAGTGCCGTTGTAATTTCGAACAGTCACCAAATGAATGGTTGTAAGTTGAGCAATACCTGTAAACCTTTTTGTGATTTCTATTCTAGTTACCTGTCAACAAAGATGATCAGGGGACTGGAGGCTAAAACATATAAAGAACCGTTGCAGGAATTGGGTATGTCTAGTTCAGGGGTAGGCAACCTTGGCTCTTTTATGACTTGTGGACTTCAACTTCCAGAATTCCTGAGCCAGCTATGTTGAGTCAGGAATTCTGGGAGTTGAAGTCCATGAGTCATAAAAGAGCCGAGGTTGCCTACCCCTGGCCTAGTTTAACGAAGAGAAGGCTGGAAAAGGAGGAAAAAAATGGTGGACAAAAAAAAATGGCGGACAGTCTTGCTTGGCAACCCCCGTGAAATGGTCGATCGACCCCAAATGGGGTCCCGACCCACAGGTTGAGAACCACTGCTTTAGATACAGCTTGCTTAGCTCTCGTATAGATGGAAAATACCAACATTCAATTTATACTGGGTAACGGTACTAAATCCAAGCTGAGTCTGTTGAGCAAGCAGCAAAGGAGCAAGTAAATGAAACTTATAAAGATATGCATATGCTTTTTTTTTTTTTTAAGGATAATTAAATAAAATCCAACCTTTAGCCGGTGAGAATTGCTGAGGCATATGAGGATCGGAAGAAAGCTCCAATGGAAATTGCAGCTGTTCTTCATTGTCTGTGGAAGCTTGAAATAATAAAGCGGTAGATAAATATTGGTTTTTTTCCATTAAAATGCAGATGTCCTGAAATCATGGCATCCACAATGGCAAAGAATTAATGTGTACATTCTCAAATGGTTTTTTTTTTACCTCTTTGTGGGTTTTTTTCTACAGCTTTAGCTGTTTGCAAAGCCTGGTATTTGTCAAAGGTTATTGCAACAGCCGTAACGGTGACCTGTAATTACAAATATTTGACCGTCAAGTTGTTCCATTTATTTATATATTCCACTTTCATTTTTAACTCAAAAATATACATGCGCAGACACCAACACACACACACACGCGGGATATACGTACATATACACATGCACACACGTGCAACATTTTTTGCATACGTGAACTATATCCCACGCAGCGTCACAATTTTACAATGAAAAGTTAACATTCATAATGTGGTCTATGAAGAGTCTCAATCGTTCAGGTCATGGTTGACATAAATGTGCTTTTTCCAAAAGGCAACTAAAACGTTTTCAAAAGGAAATCAAAACCAAGAAAGTCCATCTGCCTTTTGGAAAAAGCACCTCTGGGACATTCATAGTCTTGTCTTTGATCATTTCTTCAGATTTAAATCAGAAATCACTATGAGGCTAGGTAGGTTTCTCCGATACAGATTCAAGTTGACCAATGTTACTTTCACACAGTCCTGTCCCGATTCAGGATAATGTAAACACTACAGAATGCAAAGAGAGATAAGAATTGGCTTACCTGAATTAATTCATCTTCTGGAAGAGCAACAGTAAAATTGACGTGGCACAGACAACAAGGGATCATCGAACGGAGCTTAAAATAAAGGCTCTGTGAAATATAAGAAATGACTAATTACTTCTGTCTTCTTTTGAGGCCACTGGCAACATTTACAAATTTAAGAAGCATCTTCAGCGTAGAAGCGAGATGACTCTCGCTCGGAAAATTCTATTCAATCAACGGGCATCAGGATGACTTGGTCAGTCATAAACTAGTGAGAATGGCAAGTTAGCAAAGTTAGAAGCCTCCAGACTGTATCCTGTACACATTGTTTTGCTGTTTTCTTTGAAGTTTCTAAATGCGTGGTTAGCTGCCCAGAATGATGAGAATGAGATGGATGACTACAGAGCAAATGTATAAAAAAAAAAACAAATACAAACCCATTTCTTTGAACCTTCAGATTTCTGCTCAATAAAGCCTTTTACAAAAAAAGATAAATGGAAGTAGCTAAAATTGGTGTCTTGGATCTAAAATGCAATTTTGCTCATGTGTAAAATGTGTGTGTGTGTGTGTGTGTGTGTGTGTGTGTTTAGATATGTATATCCGTGTATATATATGTGTGTGTATATATGTGTGTGTGTGTATGTGTTTGTATGTATGTGTATATACTGTGTGTGTATATATATACACACAGACATATATACACATATATATACACATATATATACACATATGTATACACAGACACACATATCTTTTGAGAAGGCATCAGAATTTTTTTTTAAAATGTGCCAGTGCATTCACAGAAAAAAGTTACTGTCTGTCTGTCTGTCTGTCTGTCTATCATCTATCTATCTATCTATCTATCTATCTATCTATCTATCTATCTATCTATCTATCTATCTATCTATCTATCTATCTATCTATCTATCTATCTATCTATCTATCTATCTATCTACCTATCTATCATCTATCTGTGTGTGGATCAATATAAAAAATGCAAGTGGGTAGTTGAGTAATTGCAAGTACGAAGGATAATTTGACAATACCTGTATGGTTACCACATTGTTGACCGCCAGTGTTTATACCAACGCTCAACACACTATGAAAAGTGGAAAATATTGTTTTCATTTCCTTATAACCCACTCCTAAAGTGCTTTTTAAAAAAACTGCTCCCAACACATGAACCCAGATTTGTTATACGAAGTTGATCTGTTGAACATGTATAGATCTTTCGTAATACATACCCTACACAGAGAGGTTAGAGCAGGCATGTCAAACTCGCAACGTCATGTGACGTCGCGCAACGTATCAGGCCGGTTTTGCCATTGCCGGCAATGGGGTGGGCGCGGCTTCCACCTGACACGTCCAGCCCGTGGGCCAGCAGTTAGACACCGCTGGGTTAGAGAGAAAATGCTGTCCCCATGAAAAAAATGACCCAACTGATGACATTGATTATGCAGCTGGAAAAATTCACAGCTAAGCAAATGGAACTTGAATATTTATGCAAATGAAAGGTCCCTGGTGTCTTCTTGAGAAGTATGACATCTACTTATTTTTTATACAGCTGTACAATAACTAATTTCACAAAGGAAATCCACATGATTTTAAAGAAAATAAAGATCACTGACATGTATTATTTTATCATATCCAGAGCTATTTCAGATAGCAAATCTAGTAAACCAAATCTTATTTGATTTTCAATCAGAGCACTAATCAGTACTATGAACACTGTGTCTGTTGAATACATTCTTTTGATTTGGATTTATTTCAGATTGGAAAGTAATTTACAAATGTTCTGGGGTTTTTTTTTAGGGATGTAAACTGGAAGAAACTATCCAGTACAATGCAATGTTTTAGAATAGATTTTCACTTGATATGTTAGTCCTAAAATTTTGATTGTCCCAAGATTCTTGAAAAATGCTATTCCACAGGATCTATGTGATACACAAAACTTAGGATGGGTGACTGTAATATAGTTTGGATTCTACAATTCTATAATTCTGTGGTTTTAATTTTTTACCATGGATATTTTTTATGTTTTGGTTTTATTTTGGTCATTGATCAAAAAAAAAACCACCCAAAAAACCCAAACGAAAGAGTCACAATTGATTAGAATAAAGCTAGCTATAAAATCATATAACAGTATGAGTAAAACTGTAAGATAAAGAATTTGCAGTGTAAAAATTACTGTGAATAGCCACAAGTCTTGCAGCATGTAAAGGATTGCCAAAAATAGTAAATCTAATAAATATGTGCCCATTGACCATGGATAGACTGCAAAGGTTAGCTCATGATTTTTGGGAAGATGGGAAGATAATGCAGTAACAATAAAAAAAAATCATTTGGTTATTATTTTACACAGGATATTTGATGTCATCTATGTAACAGTAATTTATTTAACAGTCATCTGTTTAACAGTTATTTATAACTTACATCAGAAAAGCAAGCAAACACATCTAAAGCAAAGGACTGATTAAACACATAGTTCAAATAACTAGATTAATTCTCTTACTTTTAGTAGATTCTCACAGAGGTCATTAAAGGTCTTGTTGAGAGTTTGGTTTGTGAGGGTAACATTGCTAAGTCTGGAGACTCTTACAGACGTAAACATCTAAAGCAGGAAAACAAGATCATGAATTGCCATCCGTAAGTATAAATAAGAGTCTTTATTACTGGCTGGATTACAACTGAGATTGAAAGAGGTATGAGACAAAAGAAAAAGAAAATATTAATGAAATAATATTCTAGGATCATTTAATGCCAACTAGATGAGATGGGATACATCTCGTGCTAATGATAACAATCCTATGCAGAATGGAATGAATACATTTTGCCAAATTAAATGAAAATAAGTGTAGTGTTGTAGATTTACATTCATATAAGAGAAGACAGAGCTGGGAGCATAATCTCTGGATCAAATGTTAAGATTGGACATTTATTATAACAAAGCCTTATTGCAAGCTTTATGTGTGCGATAGTAATCTATAGAAGTAGTTCTTGACTAATGACCACAATTAAGCCCAAAATTTTTGTTGCTAAGAGAGACATTTGTTAAGGCAGTTTTTGTCCCATTTTACGACTTTTCTTGTCACAGTTAAGTGAAACACTGCAGTTATTAAATTAGTAACACGGTTAAGTGAATCTGGCTTCCCCATAGAGTTGGCTTGTCAGAAGGTTGCAAAAGGGGATCACATGACCCCGGGACGCTGCGACCGTCATAGATACGGGTCAGTTGCCAAACATCCAAATTTTGATCACGTGACCATGGGGATGCTGCGACGGTCGTAAGTGTGAAAACCAATCATAAGTCACTTTTTTCAGTGCTGTTGTAACTTTGAACAGTCCCTAAAGGAACAGTTGTAAGTCAAGGACTACCTATATCCTGTTCCAAGTTCCTTTACCAGCTGTGGTTATGGAACTGGCACACAGAGAGAAAACATTCTTAATTGTAGGGCCTCATTTGAGAGTAACTTATCAGAGAAACCTGACTGGACCTACACTACATAATTTATGTGAAAGCCCCCCCAACATTTTTGATCATGCCGAAAACCCAAATCTAAACGAATGAATATGAAGTGAAAGAAAAGCAGTTTTGCATACTTTATTTATTACTCTGAAAATTGATCTGTGTATATTAATACTCTTTTACCTGTATATCAGAAGTCCAGTTGTTTATTCCGGGCATAATTTCTGTGTTGCAGCTATAAAAGCCTGACAAAGAACAAATTCGTGTTTTTTTTTTAGTATTAAAAAAAGAAGACATAATGGCGTTCTTTCATTTGCTCGGGTTTTCAACATAGCTGATTTACAAAGCCACTAGGCTTTCTATTTGTATCGTAGTTTTTTGAGAAAGATGCTGTCAACGCTGCGAACATCGGATGTTTTTGCACTGACAACAGAGGGAAATGTAGCCCATCTTTTACCTTTTGCTTTTAGAGTTAGATGATGCTGGGAGGGGGGATGTGGACGAGAGTCCAGCTAGACCAGGGGTAGGCAACCTCGGCTCTTTTATGACTCAGGAATTCTGGGAGTTGAAGTCCATGAGTCATAAAAGAGCCGAGGTTGCCTATCCCTGAGCTAGACATAACAACACTAGACCTAGCGTGAGAAACAAGGGTATTGTAACCAGAGTTGATAAGGAATTGGCAGGTTGGAGAACTGGAGAGGAGGCCTGCGCTTCAAGCTAATTGGGGAATGTGATTTATGACTGTTAATTGAAGGAGGGAATTGTGCTTTGATACTATGTGCTCAGGGGAGGGGAATTCAGTTTTTGGCTTCGATTATGCAGTGCCGATATTATGCTACTCAAAATAAAGATTCTTTAAGGTAAAACAACGCCTCGAAGTTCTTTTGAAGAGCTTCATCTGTCGGAACCATGACAAATGCAATCTAGTAATATTCTAAAGAAATATGCATATATACTTAGGAATGAATGAATTTAGTTTGAATATAACTTATGTTCTAGTATACCGAGACATCAAAAGTGTTCATTAAATGCACAAATCTACAATAAAGTATGTGACATTCATTACATACAAGCAAAGAGCCATCCATGATTTTGTGTCTCTTGCAAATTATGTAGCTTTTCTAGTGATCTAACAATAAATTGACATTTTTTATAAGATCAAATCCAAGAAACCTAAAAGTATGACCTCTTCTAATAGAAAAATACTACATACTGTGAAAAGAGTATTGGCTATTGTCAAACCTTTGGGAGTATTTTATAACATTGTCAGAATTAAAAAACAAAAAAATCAACTGTACCTGAGGGTGGAGGAATATCGGTCAACAGAGAGTGAACGTCTTCCATTGCATCCGTATCATCAATCTGAGGGGGGGGGGGGAATTAACTACATATAATAATTTGGTCTCTGAAATGTTCTTTATCAAAAGATATTCTGTGTGGAAAGCGTATTTAATATACATACTGTATAAAGACATTATCAGGCAACATGAAGAGTCTAACCGATATATCCAGAGTTTTAAAATTAAACACTTGGGGACTTCTTAACAGATTTAAACATTTTAGCATGTTAAAATTAAATCTTCAGTACTGGCGAGTTATTTTTCATTTATTTTTAAAACCTTTTTCAAACATAAATACCGTCAGGGTCAAGGAACCAGGAACGACAGCATGAGCCTCTCAGAGATGTTACTTTATTGCTTCTCACCTATTTACAAGAATCTCACCAGACTAACTTCACTGTCTTCCAAATAACCAGACAGGGGCGCCAAGGATTTCAGAAAAGGTCAAATCTCCATTGCTTCCTTCCCATAGAATCATAGCGTTGGAAGGACCTGCAGGGATTCCAAGCTAGCTAGCCTCTTAACTCATCCCTACCATAGTGGCAGATTCTTCCACACATGCCGCTTATTTTCAAAAATGCAAAGTGGCTTACAATAACTATTTTTTTTATTAAATGCCAATAGATAGGACAACCATATACTTGATGAACTCTCAAAGTGGCCGGACTGGTGCATTTAACATTTTGGCTGAATAAATCTGTTGTAGATTAGTTAATAGTCGGATTGCCTAGAATTCAGCATGCTGAGTATAGAATTTGGGATTCCTGTACTTCTTTTCATCTCTCTCTCTCTCTCTTTCTCTCCCTCTCTTCTCTCTCTCCTTTCTCTCCCTTTATTTCTTTTCTCTCCATCTTCTCTCTTTCTCTCTCTTCTTTCTCTCCCTTTCTCTTCTCTCTCCTTTCTCTCCCTCTCTTCTCTCTCCTTTCTCTCTTTCTTTCTCTCCTCTCCGTCTTCTCTCTTTTTTCTCTCCCTTTCTCTTCTTTTTCTCTTCTCTCTCTCCTTTCTCTTCCTCTCTTCCCTCTCCTCTTTCTCTCCCTTTCTTTCTCTTCTGTCCCTTTCTCTTCTCTTTTTCTCTTCTCTCTCTCTGTCTCACAGTCACACACACGAATTCAGACATGCTATCTCTACAACGCAAGAATATTTTCTTAACTATGAATGACATGGTTCTGTAACCGACAAATGACAGAGTTTTGTTCATTCTTTATAAGTCAGGCAGAAGATGAACTTTTCCGAAGGAGAGCGTACCTCCAACACAAAGGCGTCTTTCTTGCCATGAGACAGATCCAGTTCTGCAATGTCGTCAGAGCTTTCAGACTGAGATCTTAGCAACCTGGTCCGGTGTTTCGGTTCTGGAATGGGAGAACCTATAATTTCTTCAGATGTCTCCTACGCAGAACAATAGGGCATTATGTAGGCATCTCACATTGAGTAAGTCTCACAAAAAGAGCTTTAAACATTTCACTGCTACCACCACAGTTTTCTTCCAACGTGAATAAAAAAAAAGGAAATGAGGTCTCTTAGCTGTTTCTGTCCTGACCAAAGTGAGTAACTCCACCCCCCTTTATTCCTGAACCTGTTTAGCTTTTGCAACCACTTTCTCTCTCCTTATTTTTATAGGGTTCTGTCAATAATAATAATAATAATAATAATAATAATAATAATAATAATAATAATAATAATAATAATAATAATAATAATAAAGTTGGAAGGGACCTTGGTGGTCATCTAGTCCAACCCCCTGCTCAGACAGGAAACTCTATATCATTTCGAACAAATGGCTGTCCAGTCTCTTCTTAAAAACCTCCAGTGTTGGAGCATTCACCGCTTCTGGAGGCAGGTTGTTCCACTGGTTTATTGTTCTAACTGTCAGGAGGTTTCTCCTTAGTTCCAGGTTGCTTCTCTCCTTGATTAGTTTCCATCCGTTGCTTCTTGTCCTGCCTTCTGTTCCTTTGGAAAATAGCTTGACTCCCTCTTCTTTGTGGCAGCCACTGAGATACTGGAAGACTGCTATCATGTCCCCCCCCCCCTTGTCCTTCTCTTCATTAAACTAGACATACCCAATTCCAGCAACTGTTCCTTATATGTTTTAGCCTCCAGTCCCCTAATCACCTACATTTAACATGAATGTATTTCATTCATAATATAGTCGACTTACAACAGTTCATTTAGTGCCCGAAGATACCACAGCACTGAAAAATGTGATTTATGAGCATCTTTCACACTTATGACCATTGCATCATCCCCGTGGTCATGTGATTTACATTCGGATGCTTGACAACTGGTTCATATTTACGATGGTCCCAGTATCCCGGGGTCATGTGATCCCCTTTTGCAACCTTCTGACAAGCAAAGTCAATGGGGAAGCCAGATCCACTTAACAACCAGGTTACTAATTTAACAACTGCAGTCATTCATTTAACAAATGTTGCAAGAAAGGTCATAAAGTCGGGCAAAACGCACCTAACAAATGTCCCACTTAGCAACATAGATTCTGGGCTCAATTGTGATCGTAAATCAAGGACTACTTGTAATTAAAGGGATAGATCAGGGGTCTTCAATCTTGGCAACTTTAAGACATGTTGACTTCAACTCCCAGAATTCCTCAGCCAGCCCTGGAATTCTGGGAGTTGAAGTCCACAAATCTTAAAAGTTGCCCAGTTTGAAGACCCTTGGGATAGATGTTTCTGCCTCATGAGAAGCATTTGACTTAAGATTGTGACAGTACTTATACAACATTGCTTACCGGAGGGTTAATCTCATACAGCTCTTTATTTCTGGCGATGGTGTCATTGATTTTCTTCTGCACATGAGAGATATGCTGTTCATAAGTGGCATCACTGGGGGTTTTTCCAGAAATCTGAATACCACCAGGAGTAGGTAAAGCAGCCAGATAAACCCCTGTAGCAGACTTTAAAAAAAGTATACCAGTAAGAAAAGAGGGCATTGTGGGAACAGAGTCTAAGTATTACACCTTCCTCCGATAGGTATAAAAATGTAAGGGTTTAAAATGTGCTATTGCAGGGGTGGCGAACCTATGGCGCGCGTGCCAGAGGCGGCACTCAGAGCCCTCTCTGTGGGCACGCGTGCCGTTACCCCTGCGGCCCCTCACCAGCAGTCCCCCCCCGGAGAGTCACCCCCGGGCACGGCCCACACGGAGCAGCACAGCCAAGAACATGGCAGCCAGGCAGCAGGGACAAGACTCCGCCTTTGCGCCACGACACACGCAGATGATGCTGCTGGGTGCGGGTGGAGGGCGTGGCTGCCATGGCGCTACAGGGCAGCCTGGGTGATCTGTGGTGGGCCGTGGAGGTGGTGGGTGGCCCTGCGAGTGGGTGGAGGTGGAGCAGGGGGCGGAGCAGGGGTGGAGCACGGGCAGGTGGCAGAGCAGGTGGGCAGGCCGGGGGGCCAGGCGGTTTTTGGGCACTTGGTCTCTAAAAGGTTCGACATCACTGCGCTATTGACTGTATATCTGGACCAGAGTTTCTCAAACTTAGCAACCTGAAGATGTGTGGACTTCAACATATTCAGAAATTTACAAGTAAAACCAAAGCTAGATACATTTTTTTTCTATAATGATGTCTGCACATTTAAATTTAAAACTCTTGAGATTGAGAAACAGTGAATCTAGACCAGGGGTCCCCAAACGGGACAACTTTAAGACCTGTGGACTTCAACTCCCAGAATTCCTCAGCCAGCTCCAAACTTGGGAATTTTAAGACTTGTGGACTTCAAGCTCCCAGAATTCCTCAGCCAACTGTGCTGTGCTGGCTGGGGAATTCTGGGAGTTGAAGTCCCACAAGTCTTAAAGTTGTCAAGGGTTTGGAGACCCCTGATCTAGATTGTGCAGCCTAAGTATGTGTGGATGGGATTGTGTAAGCAAGTCAGATTTTTCTTCAGAAAATAAACAAGTGGGAAACTGCAGGTCAAAATACAGATTAAAAGAAGAGTTAAGAAGCACTGAGGGGTATTTCAGTGTGACAATGCAGCTTTTTCAAAGAGTTATAAACCTGAATATGCAGAAATCTTGGGAATTGCAGCTCAAGGATTATCTTTGTGTATTTTACGGTACATCAAACACAAAAGGCACCGTTAGATGCTGCAGATATAACCCCACAACAATCAGTGATGAGGGATAACATCTGAACTCTAAAGAGATCTTCATTAGTAGCCTTTATTGTGGTAGAAACCTTTAAAGTGGACTGAAACACCAGAAACTGGATCCCAGCTGCTGTTCATTAACTTTAGAAAAGGTACTATTATAGGACTTTCCATTTTGAAATCTTCATGGTTTATTTTAACAAAGCCTTAGGCCTGTTTCTTTCTTACAACTTTGTTTAAACGACTAAACCGACAAATCTTGACATTCTGGGGTTTTTAAGACATGTAAAACTTTCCTATTTTATTCAATGCTTAAGTATTTTTCCTGGGATGCAAAACTGGAGGGAGATTACGCTAGAGTAGGGGGGTCTTCAAACTTGGCCCTTTTATGACGTGTGGATTTCAACTCTCAGAATTCCTCAGCCAGCCTCCATTTTGTTTGTTAGATTTAAGACAGGGGTCTTCAAACTTGGCCCTTTTATGACGTGTGGACTTCAACTCCCAGAATTCCTCAGCCAGGCATGCTGGCTGAGGAATCCTGAGAGTTGAAGTCCACGAGTCATAAAAGAGCCAAGGTTGCCTACCCCTGAGCTAGAGTCTCCTTGCAGACTCTCTAATTCTCTTCATACCACACACCGAATCAGTCAAGTAGAGATCTATCAGATGAATTCCGCAAGTCATAAAAGAGTCCAGTTTGAAGACCCCTTGACTTGTGGACTTCAACTCCCAGAGTTCCTCAGCCAGCGTGCCTGGCTGAGGAATTCTGGGAGTTGAAGTCCACACGTCATAAAAGGGCCAAGTTTGAAGACTCCCTGCGCTAGAGGATTGGAAAACAAACGAAATGTTTAAAACACAAATGGAAAACTTACCGCCATCCCCATCAACATCGTTTCTCCCACCGTGATCTGTATTCGTAGGCCAAAGAGGGCGTTCATCCCTCTCAGCTTCAGCTTATTCATCAACTGAGTGTGTACTTCATACTCCATAAATGGCAGCAGATTGCTGATGCAGGTTGCGTTGGCTTCGGCTTGGGCCTTCTTTTTCAGCCGGCATAGCCTGTTGGGGAGTGAACCATAAATTTCAAGGCACGTGGCCTTAAGGAATCATAGAGTCATAGGGCTAGATGGGACCTTGGAGGTCTTCTCGTCCAACCCCATGCCCAAGGTAGGAGTCCTTATACTGTCCTGGTTGTTCAGTCTTTTCTTGAAGACCTCCACTGATGGGAGCATCCACAACTGCAGGAGGCAAGCTGTTCCATTGGTTAATTGGGCAAGACATTCCATTGATGGTTCTCCCTGTCAGAAAATTTCTGATTTCCTTGATAAGTTTCCATCAATTGCTTCTTGCTCTGCCCTGAAATGCTTGGGAGAATAAGTTGACCTCCTCTTCTCTGGGGCAGCTCCTCAAATATTGGAATATTAGGCTATTCACTGTCAGAAAATTCCTCCTTAGTTTCAGGTAAGATCTCCCTCTGATGAACTTCCACCCATTGTTGCATGTCCTGCCCTCAGGTGCTTTGGAGAATAAATTGACCCCCTTCTTCCCTGTGACAGACCTTCAAGTATTGGAAGGCTGCCATCCTGTCTCCCCCAAACCTTCTCTTCATTAGGCTAAATACACCTCATTGCCTTAGCTATTCATTGTATGATTTAGCCTCCAGACCCCTTATTATCCTTGTTTCTCTTCACGGCACTCTTTCTAGAGCAGGGGTCTTCAAACTTGGCCCTTTTATGACTTGTGGACTTCAACTCCCAGAATTCCTCAGCCAAGCACACTGGTTGAGGAATTCTGGGAGTTGAAGTCCACAAGTCATAAAAGGGCCAAGTTTGAAGACCCCTGGTCTAAGTGGTTAAGGCACCAGGCTAGAAACAGGGCGATTGTGAATTCTAGTCCTTCCTTAACCATGAAAGCTGGCTGGCTGACTTTGGAGCATTCGCCAGAGACTGTGAGTTCTGATCCTCTTGGCCATGAAGGCTGGCTGGCTGACTTTGGACCAATCGCGAGGAGACTGTGAGTTCTAGTCCCACCTTAGGCATGAGAGCCGGCTGGGTGATCTTGGGCCAATCCCAGGAGACTCTGAATTCTAATCCCGTTTTAGGCATGAAAGCCAGTTGGGTAACCTTGGGCCAATCACCAGAAGACTGTGAGTTCTATAGTCTTGCCTTAGGAATTAAAGCCAGATGGGCGACCTTGGATCAGTCACTCTCTCTCAGCCCAATTCACCTCACAGGGTTGTTGTTGTGAGGAAAAAGAGGAGGAGGAAGGTGGCTGTTTGTCACCTGGAGATACTTGTAGAAATAATAACAGCAGAATATAAGTACTAATATGTCTACTATGAAAATATGCCTCTTCTTCCTGTATTCCTTCCTGCTGAGTACCTGGCTTGGATGAGGCATCCTTTTCCAAACACGACGGCGTCCACAGGCAAGTCTATCGTCGTGAAAAGGACATCGGGCACTTTCTGCTTCCTGCAGCTGCAGCAGTAAGCGAGGCGGGCCGGGAATGGCATGTTGAGCTCATCGTAGGGGATGTGGCAGATGCTACAACCGAGAGGTAAGGATTCTTCTAGCCTAGGAGATAAAATGGGGAGCAGTCTAAAATTACCATTCAGACACCGACTTTCTAAACAAGGCTGGTCACTTGAAATGGGGGTTCACACACATATCAGCCTACACGTGGCTTATACCAGGGGTATAGGCAACCTTGGCTCTTTTATGACTCGTGGACTTCAACTCCCAGAATTCCTGAGCCAACATGGCTCAGCATGGAAACCTCTCCCTTTCCCCTCAGCATGGCTGGCTCAGGAATTCTGGGAGTTGAAGTCCACGAGTCATGAAGGGGCCATAGTTCCCCCATGCTGGCTCAGGAATTCTGGGAGTTGAAGCCCACGAGTCATAAAAGAGCCAAGGTTGCCTACCCCTGGCTTATACAGATATCCCGTACAGGTAGTCCTCGACTTACGACCACTTGTTTGATGACGGTTCAAAGTTACAACGGGACTGAAAGAAGTGGCCTTTGACCTGGTCCTCACACTTGAAACCATGATAGCATCCTCAAGGTCACGTGATCAAAATTTGAGCGGTTGGCAATCGGCATGTGGCACCCCAGGGTCACGTGACTGCCATTTGCGACCCTCCCAGATAGGTTGTGACAACCCAGTCAATGGGGGAAGCCAGATCGGCTTAACACTGCACGATCCACTTAACAACTGCAGCGATTCGTTGAACAACCGTGACAAAAAAAAAAAGATGATAAAAGTGGGCCTCACTCACTTATCAAGGGCCTTGCTGAGCAACAGAAATTCCAGTCACAACGGTGGTCGTAAATTGAGGACTACGTGTATGTTGCTGGCCAGTCTGCTTTCTTTTATAATGCTTTATGCATTTGAACAAGTTAATCCACAGACTGTCTTGTCCCCCCAAGAGACCAAACAGATAATTTAACTCCCCCCTCCCCTTTTTAAACCACACACACACACATGCAATGGGCAGATTAGTAGAAACCGCGTAGCTTTTTGTGAATTTAGTTTCAGTAGTTCTGTAAGACACGACACAACACAACACAACTACTCATTTCTATTAGGTTTAGGGTCCTACGAAGCGATTATTTGGATAGGAATGGAAAAACGTTATGTCATGGAGGAAAGAACAATTTTAACGGGTCAGAAGGGCAACTACAACTAGGTTTTGTCATAAATTTGGCTAATGAATGCAAATCAGTGACTAAGAGTCGCCTGCTGGAGAAATCTATTTTTACAGAAACATTTATCTTATTTAATTATCCATCAAATTTGCAGACTGTTCATCAGCGACAACTCTGGGCAGTGTGGGATCCTGGGTGCTTCTCTGAGCTTAGTTGTTTTCTTGCAGACGTTTCATTGCCCAGCTAGGTAACGTCATCAGTGCTAGAAGGGAGTGGGTTTTTTTAAGACTATGTTATCCTATTTAATTTCTCTTGATTTGACAACTATATATACTTCAAACCCACTGAGGTTTGCCACAATATATTTAATATGAATAAAAAGCTGAACTGTACATTTTTATGTCCTGTACTAAAACATTTTTATTTTGAAGCTGAATAATCAGATTGCATGTCTGGTTGATTAAGGGTACCCTCAATAACATGTGGATTGCTTAGCTTCCTTTTCAACATACGTCACTGATTGGACCTACTGTAGAAGCTATAGAATGTTTTTATTAGAAACAAAAAGTCAGGGGTCAGTGGTTTTTCTCCACCTTTTTGTTGGTCAAGACATGTCTCTGTGCATTAATGATCTTTCTTAGCCCCCTCTGTAATCTCAGGGGCTGCCACAAAGAAGAGGGAGTCAAGCTATTCTCCAAGGCACCTGAAGGCAGGACGAGAAGCAACGGATGGAAACTGATCAAGGAGAGAAGCAACTTAGAACTAAGGAGAAACTTCCTGACAGTTAGAACAATTAATCAATGGAACAACCTGCCTCCAGAAGCGGTGAATGTTCCAACACTGGAAGTTTTTAAGAAGAGACTGGACAGCCATTTGTCTGAAATGGTGTAGGGTTCCTGCCTGAGCAGGGGGTTGGACTCGATGACCTCCAAGGTCCCTTCCAGCTTTATTATTATTATTATTATTATTATTATTATTATTATTATTATTATTATTATTATTATTATTATTATTATTATTATTATTATTATTATTATTATCTGGAACAGACGGTGGAGAAATTAACCTGCGAACAGAGGAACTGATAATAATTGACTTTTTCTTTGATCTGTTGAGCACATCTTCCACTGAATTGCTGAAAAGATCGCATCAGAGAAGTGGAAAAGCTGGGATACAACTCAATGTAACAAACTATGACTGCAAGAGAGACGGATAACATCAGCCCCTTTAGTCTGCCATCTTCCTGTAGAGAAGGACGAGGGGGGACATGATAGCAGTGTTCCAATATCTCAGGGGCTGCCATAAAGAAGAGGGAGTCAAGCTATTTTCCAAAGCAACTGAAGGCAGGACAAGAAGCAACGGATGGAAACTAATCAAGGAGAGAAGCAATCTAGAACTAAGGAGAAACTTCCTGACAGTGAGAACAATTAACCANAAATCAGGATGGAGCTTATTTAAATTAAGCTGACTTCGTTAACTCTTGTAAATACAAGAATAGAGAAGCAAATAATTGAAAATGACAGAAGCTCCGCTCATCCATACAGGAGGCAGAGGGAATATGAAGTTTTGAAGAGGAAGCAAAAAGGACAACACTTCAAGTCGTCCATGCCTAACTTTTCTCCAAAATAAACAATTAAATAATAAAATAATAAAATAAAATAATAAAATAATAAAATAATAAAATAATAAAATAATAAAATAATAAAATAAATAAATAAATAAATAAATAATCTGCCTTCCGGGGGAATCACATTACGGTGAACATGATGGTCATCTCATAAAAGAATGACTCGGCAATCTCAGAGCTAGTTAAAAAAAATCAGCATTTTTTTTTTTAGCATTTAATACATTTCAGTAGGGTTTTTTTTTTCCCCTGAAGAGCTCAACTTGATTATTTTCTATGGAAAAATTATATTTGGTGAAACCTTGATTTGACAGACACGCAGGAAGGAGGGGTCTGTTACACTCAAAAGGCCTGTCAAATCGCACAGGATGTCCTTTGTGGCAATTTTAGTGATTTGTGTATTGATGCCATGAGAGAAATGATGTCAGCTTGATGCTCTAATGTACATTGTCATAGCTGGCCCGAGCGTAATGTAAATTCAGCTCCCTCATCCAGACCCGTACAAGATGTTCGGGAGTTTCGTTGAGATAGAAATCTGGACCCCGAAATGGGGATCCTTCAATTGAAGTTTCACTGCAACTTGAAAAGGAGAGGCCAATCTCTATGGTGGGCTGGAGAATTCTGGGAGTTGAAGTCCACGTGTCTTAAAGTTGCCAAAGTTGGGAAACCCTGCTTTAGTGTGCCATAAAATCTTGACAATGGTGTGAAATAAAGAATCACTTGCACACTCAGTGTTAGGAGAGGGACAGTTCGAAACAGGGGAAAGGATTTGCATTCTGTGGTTAGTAGCCAAATGGTTACCTTATTCAGGCTGTTAGAAATTTTAAAGCAGTAAGACTAGTGACTGGGGCAGTCCCACAACGTCTGCAGTTGTTAGTGAAAAATCAGTAAAGTAGTCGGCCCCCGCATTCTGTGCTGTACCACTGGTAACCTACCCTAATAGAGAAGAACTATCTTGGTTTTGAGGAAAAAACTCAACCTCTCCCTTCTCTGACCCTATGGAAAAGTAGCCAGGCTGCCATGACAACCTTGGTTCCAAACAGACTTCCATGTTTCCATCCTGGAGGAACTTGGGATTCAGCACAGCGGCTGTGCCCGAGGCAGACAAAATACAGACCTCCTCACTGTGAAAGAAAGAAAGAAAGAAAGAAAGAAAGAAAGAAAGAAAGAAAGAAAGAAAGAAAGAAAGAAAGAAAGAAAGAAAGAAAGAAAAAAAGAAAGAAAGAAAGAAAGAAAGAAAAGGGAGGGAGGGAGGGAGGAAGGAAGGAAGGAAGGAAGGAAGGAAAAAAGAGAAAGAAAGAAAAAAGAAAGAAGAGAGAGGGAGGGAGGGAGGGAGGAGGAAGAAAGAAAAAATAGAAAGAAAAAGAGGGAAAGAGAATGAAAGAAAAAAAGGTATGAAGGAAAAGGGAAAAGAGAAAGAGAAAGAGAAAGAGAAAGGAAAAAAGAGAAAGAAAAATAGGGGAGAGAGAGGGGGAGAAAGAAAGAAAGAAAGAAAGAAAGAAAGAAAGAAAGAAAGAAAGAAAGAAAGAAAGAAAGAAAGAAAGAAAGAAAAAAAAAGAAAAGATTAGTCATGAGTTCACTCATATGCTTTGTGAAATCTTTTCCCACAAATGAAAAAGCCACAACCCAAATCCATGTTGAAAGTGAGCATTTAGGGTGGGGGAGTTTTAAAAAATAAGCTGCCTGCCATACGGTGTTTATTTGGACTGTGGTAAGGACAACCCCTTTTCAGAAGTACAATAGTAAAGGGTCGAGGGACACATTTTGCCCCTGTGTGGTGTGCCGGATGCTCTGCATCAAAACTAAAACAACAGCGGAGAGGCAGGACTTTTTCCAGGCTAAGAATTTTAGTGGATGGGTGTGGACGCAGGGCCTGCATTCCAAAAGTGGAAGAGCCAGGAAGAATTTTTATATTAACCTTTACACATAAATCAAACACAAGTAGTCTCTGGCTTAGGACTACAATGGAGTCTGCCCATGACAGCCTAGCTGTAACGCAGATTGTCCTTGGACCCGACTAGATTTTACCACCTTTTTTTGTGGCTGTCACAACTGTTGTGATTGTTAAGTGAAGCAATGGTTCACTATGGGACTGTTTTGCCAAAAAAAAAAAACTAGACACAAAGGGGGCAAATGCAGCTGCAAACGGCTGTAAAAGCAGGCTGATTGCTGAGCGCCTGAAATATAGTCACGTGACTGGGTTGGAGGGGTAGCCGTTGAAAGTTTGAAACTGGGTGGCAATTACCCCTGGGGGGAATCCATTGTCATTCTGAACAGTTACTAAATGACTGGTTGTAAATCAAGGACCATCTGTACTTGCTAATGTGATGAATTCCCCATTATGTAGTGCAGGGGTGGGGAATGATGGCCCTTTTATGACAACTCCCAGAATTCCTGAGCCACAGGGCTCAGCATGGAAACTTTTCCCTTTCCCCTCAGTATGGCTGGCTCAGGAATTCTGGGAGTTGAAGTCCACGAGTCATAAAAGAGCCAAGGTTGCCTACCCCTGCCCAAATGCCTGAATTTTGATCACATGACTGTGAGGAAAAAATATTTAAATCAGGGGTCTTCAAACTTGGCTCTTTTATGACTTGTGGACTTCAACTCCCAGAATTCCTGAGCCAGCATGGCTCAGCATGGAAACCTCTCTCTTTCCCCTCAGCATGGCTGGCTCAGGAATTCTGGGAGTTGAAGTCCACCAGTCATAAAAGGGCCATCGTTCCCCACCTCTGATGCAGTGGATCATTCCCCCATCTCTTTTTTTGTGTGTCCTCAAGTCAGTGTTGTCCTCTATCTTCTGTCTTCACATCCCCAAACGGCATCTCCTTTTGATAGCTTGATCACTGATCAAAAAAGGGTTACAAGGCTACCAGTGGAGACCCCTCACGCCACAGATAATAAAAATGAACGTTCTTCTGTTCAAGATAATTTGTCATTCCTTTGTTCGCCAAAGCAAACAGCAGCAATACAGAAACAGCATCCTTCCTACACCGTTGTCATGTCCCAGCAGCTAAGTGGCTATATTACTATACGCCCCATCATCCTGAGCCTTCCTACTTCCCAGTAATTGGCGCAACTTTATACAACAGGTCTCCGAGCTTCTCTTTTCGCCCTTTCCTTCTGCTCCTTATTTATTTATTTATATTTAAACTTCTATGCCGCCCTTCTCCCCAGAGGGACTCAGGGCGGCTCACAGCATGTTAAAAAACAACACAAAAAAACATTTCCCCTATAAAACCAATTAAAAGCAAATATATTAATAGCTGTGTCATATTTAAAATCTTTGAAAATTTTTAAAAATTATTCCCTATTTAAAATTCACCCTA